GATAAAGAGATAAATTCTGTTCCCAAGTAGACTTATTTTTTTCAACATTAGCGTATAACTTTTTAGCTAAATGATTTTGGAGTATTCAGAAATGATATACAGGTCAAATAAAAAATGAATAACACCACCCCCCCCATGGTATTAATTATAGCGATTTAAATTTATTTTAACTTTATCAATCATTTTTCACTAAAGATACTTGAATCGTATGCTTAAAATGCACTTGAAACCAATTAGAATCTATATGCCTGAATTTGAATATACAGAACCAAAAACATTTGAAAGTTTTTATGATTAAGCCACTATAATTCAAATTAAAATAGAAATGTTTTTCCTTATTTTTAACTATATACAGCTAAAAAAGGAAAAAAATAATAAAAAGCTTAATATGAGGAAACGACACAATGCTTTCTTAAAACACAGTGATACCAAGGGACTCCCACTCTCTCTTTAATGATCCACTACTCTCATTCAGCTGTCTTTCTTTTTTAAAAAATCTTTACATATATGACAGCTCTCAAAAGTAGACCATAGACCATCTGGCATTTTCAGAGGTGTAACTTGTGCAAATTCAGCCCTACTGGGAGCACAATGCTATCTTCTGCCTGTGTTATAAAAGATACAGTAGAATGTAGAACTTATGAGTTGTTTTGAATTATTCATTTTTTGCCTGTATATTGAATTTTTTTTTACAAACTCTGCATTTTGTACTACATAATCGCATGCGTTAAAGGTACAAAGAAACTTTTTGACACCTCTTTTCTATAGTAAGATGGCATTTTGTTTGATATGTGAACATGCAGTGTCTGTTATATCATTCCAAACACACCATGTGCTGCTACAAAAGACTCAATTTTCCATTATACATGAGCAAAATGTTATTCTTCCCATTCAATAACTAATGCAATGTCTATCAGAATTCCAATATTAGATTTAGGAACATTCAGCACCTTAAATTCAGGATAGCACTGGACAAACATTTTTTTAAAAAAAAACCAAAAACAATGTAGAATGCTAAAATATTATTTTACATATATTTAAAAAGAAACTTTGCTTCCGTTGTTAAATTGTTCTCATGATACTACAAAACTAGTGGATTTTGTTCAATATTTTACAGTTACTATTAGTAAAAATTTATCAGAATTGGATTAATGATTAAATAGAATCATTTCTGACAGAAAAACAGTAAATAATATTGCAAATACAATATATTGCTATAGCATATAACCTATTAGCATGTTTCAATGAAGCACTCTTATTGGCCTCTTCATAAGCACACCTTAATATAGTATTTTGTGTGTTACTTATCCAACATTATATTATAATTTACTTGGGTGGTTACTAGGTAGCATAAAATATTTCTGAGTATTTAGTATGTCTTTATTACCAAGATTTCATAGACATGAAACAAAAAACTGAGTGTCCCCATTTAGATTTGAAATTCATATCCAGCTGTCAAAAACATCTGCCTGTTTACATTTTGTTATGTATGCTTATATATTCTCTTCCACTGCAAATTAAATATGAAACTTTCAAATAATTTTTAAATCTATGAGAAATGACAACAATGATTATGAAATGCACGCTTAGCTGTATTCCATTTTCAATGTAGGAGAATACTACCCATACCACACAAAATGTATCCTATTAAAGAAAAAATAAATAAATCTATCAATCATGCTCTTTATTTGGATGAATTGTTTTCTGATTGATTGATCTTATACATATAAAGTTTTTGAAGAAGCAAACTATCACAAATAACACAAATAAATAAAAAAAATATAAAGATGGATTAGACTCCTGATTACCACATCTATACAGTTTTCTTAGTAGCTGTAAAAATACAGGCATAAAATTTAGTCTATATACAGTATATATTTTATAAAAAGAAAAATCATTACTGTATTTTCTAACAAAACTGTAATCAGCACCATATTTACCAAGCATCCTTACCAAGCAACTATGCAAACTATAATGACAAACCAAAACTCAAGAAAAGTGAAAGTAATTGATGGATGTATTGGAGTTTTTGAAAATTAGCTCTAGTTCGTAAGGGCATAGGAGCTATTATATCAGCTTTCTCTCCATTCAGTTTTCCTTTTATTATGTCACTTAAATGTTATGGGAGATTAAGTTCAGTCCTCTTTTATTTTGGGAAGGCTGTGTGAAATTGGCTCATAGCATTATGGTCCATTCTATATCCTTTAATCCAGTGGACAATTTTATAATGTATAGAGGTAAGCTCCTGGAATTCTCCAGATCGAGAGGACTTACAAATTCTGCACCCATATCCACATAGCTAATCATGAAATTCACTGGACAACTCTTGGAAACCATTTAAATTATTTATATCAACCAGTTCTAAATCTTGCTAAATTCACAAAAACTCCTGGTAATATACATCACACATTAGATTATTGCTGTGTTAGTTGTCAGTCATTCTTATTAAGATCATTTCTAAAATAATTGGAGCATCAAATTAGAGATCACAGTGTCATCTAATCTTTTTTTCATCCTGATTCATATGGTGTGCTTAGCCAAAACTGTGGATCTATTGGTTCTTGGTTTCTGTAAACATAGGCACTATGTTTAAAGTCCATAATTTATGGCTTAGCTGTAGTAATTGGTTCACACCTCTGTCACCATCAAGTTACATTAGATCAAGAATATATAATAACATGACATTTTATAATACTGGTTAGACTTCAGGTACCATTGAATCATTACTTCTTGCTTCCATCTTAATTTACCATTGTAGACAGTGGTCGGTTTCAATTTATTTTACTACCGGTTTGCTCATGCGTGTATGATCGCTGTCGCCACTACCAGTTCACCCAATTCAGGGCGAACTGGCAGAAACCCACCTCTGATTGTAGCTGGAATTTCTAGTAATTAGTGGGGGTATACAAACCTTCATGAATGTGACAAGGTGACTCAAATAAGGTTATAGCCTGGGAAGGAGTCTCTCTGAGGTTCCTTCCCAGTTTTTTAAAAAGTCCCTTCAAGTGGTTCGCACAATTCTAAATTGTAGTTCAGGAATATGTGGAAGGTTACATATTTCACTTTTAGACTGCTGATAGAAATATGTGGAATATATTGTGTTATTTTAACTACAACAATAGATCACATATTTTAAATGGCAACCTGGTTTAGAAGCAGGGGTGGCATTCAGCTGGTTTGAACCGGTTCTGGTGAACTGGTAGCTCTGACGATCAGCTGGGGAACAAACCGGTTCGCTCCATTGATCAGGTGGGTCCACCCGCCTGCCCCTACCTATATCCTCTCAACTGAATCACTCAGCAGAGCAGATTGCCGCACCTCAGCTGTGTTACTCCCCAGAAGTAACATGGAAGGTAAGTTT